TCCGATATGTCCTTGTCAATTCTATGAATCCTTCTCTCAGCGTTTCTTAATTTTTGAAGTTTTTAAAAAATATAATTCCAAAAAAAATACGTTTGTTGTGATAATGTTTGCTTGTGCAGTTCAAATGAAAAACTAAACTTAGTTGAACAAATTGTATACTGTTTCCTTGTATTTAATTTCTAGTTAAATAACCTTAATTTTTGTTGTTCTTGATGAATGAAAAACTAGAAAAAGAAAGAGAGAAAACCTGCGAAAAAAGTATCCTAAAAGTGAATCGTAAAAACTGAATGTAAAACGAACAAAAAAAATTTTGGTAAGCCAAGAGGTGAAAACGGAGGTGATTTTTTTTTGAAAATTGATTATTTATCAGCCAAAAATAACTCATGTCAAAACATTGTAGACAGTTAGTTGTTTTTTTTTTCAACTTTTTGATTAAGGTAAGTTTAAAAACCAATGCAAATAATTGTCTCTCCTATCTAAAAGCATTTTAGAAAAATATAAAAATAACGAAAAATAATATTTTTATGTCTCAAATATTGTAGGAGTTTTGTCTTCGGCCATTGTAGTTTTACTAGTTGCAATGTTCATAAAATTTGGTGCTTGAAACTTTAATCTGAATAACTCAATGTTTTTTCTGGTGAAACCGCGTGCGAAAGTTTGTGCTTTTCGTCTCAAATTGTTCAACGACCTTTAAAACTTTACCATCATCTTCAGAACAATTTCAATATGTTCATTAAGTTGGGAAAAACTTTAGTACCTCAATCAATAATACTTAATTTGAAAACGGTTTTTTGTTTTACTAACGTGCTGAGTGCGCTAGTAAAATTTTTGTGTATTATGGACAATGGTTAAAAGCTGAACGTTATGATCCGTTACTGTCTACCTTTTGTCTTCCCTTATATATACATCAACCCTGCCTCCCTTTTTTCGGCAGTTTTTTTTCAATTGTACTAAAGCCCTGTAGGTTAAAAATCTTACTATTTTGCTCATTTTTCAGCCAAGTATCAGCGAAACATATTGCCACTGGCATAAGACTGTAAACCAAAACTTGCAGCTCATCAACATTTTTCGAGAACGAGCGTTTGTTTTGCAAAATAAATGATTCCATTACTCCCGGAGTTAAAAGTTCCTAACTCCGATATGTCCTTGTCAATTCTATGAATCCTTCTCTCAGCGTTTCTTAATTTTTGAAGTTTTTTAAAAATATAATTCCAAAAAAATATGTTTGTTGTGATAATGTTTGCTTGTGCAGTTCAAATGAAAAACTAAAATTAGTTGAACAAAATGTATATACGGTTTCCTTTTATTTCATTTTTAGTTGAATAACCTTAATTTTGTTGTCCTTGATGAGTGAAAAACTAGAAAAAAAAGAGAAAAAACCTGCGAAAAAGTATCCTAAAAATGAATCATAAAAATTGAATTTAAAACGAACAAAAAAAATTTGGTTTCTTTCAATTTAAAAATTTGTTTTGATCTTTACACTTTAGAAAAGAATCTGACTGAATTTTTTTTTCAAAGCATCCCAGGAGTACCCCTGTCTTGGTATTGGCCGGTCGCGAACTCACAACCTGAGACAAGACTGCCGACATCATTCCGCTGTTAAAAATGGAGGAAACAGTAATACCTGATGAGTAAGACAAGAGGTGAAATCGGAGGCGTTTTTTTTTGAAAATTGATTATTAATCAGCCAAAAATAACTCATGTCAAAACATCGTAGACAGTTAGTTGTATTTTTTAACATTTTGATCAAGGTAAGTTTAAAAACCATTGCAAATGTTTGTCTTTCCTATCTAAAAGCATTTTAGAAAAGTATAAAAATAACGAAAAATAAGCCTTCTAATGTCTCAAATCATGCAGGGTTTTTGTCTTCGGCCATTGTAGTTTTACTGGTTGCAATGTTCATAAAATTTGTTACTTAAAACTTTAATCTGATCAACTCAATGTTTTTTTCTGGTTAAAGTATGTGCGAAAGTTTGCTCTTTTCGTCTCAAATCTTTCAACGATCTTAAAAACTTAAGCATCATCTTCAGAACAATTTCAATATGTTCATTAAGTTGGGAAAAACTTTAGTACCTCAGTCAATAATACTTAATCTGAAAACCGTTTTTTGTTTTACTAGCGTGTTGAGGGCGGTCGTTGAATCCGGGCTCTTTATAAGACGAATTCAATTGCAGTAAGTTTTTCGGTTTAATTGATGAGAAATCTATCACTGTACTTTATACTTTATATAGCTTGCGAGTGGGGGGGGGGGGGGGGGGGGTGGGGGGCTAAAATTGTTTGAAACTTATCATTCTTTACTTTGAAAGTACTGCATAGACGTCTGAATTTTCGAAGCGTTTTCCTGATTTGAGCAAGGATGATGCAACCGGGAACCACTATATTACTTCTCGTCGGAAACTTCGTTCACATGATCATGACCGAACTGCATGTTAGATTAGAAAGGTCAATGCAACCACGAACTTTTTATTTGGTTTCTGCCAAAAACTTTGTTCGCTGAAGAATGTTTGAACTTCATGGCACAGGATCAGGTCCGAAGGATCAAAGATATTTTTTGAAAAGTTGAATTTTTCAGATTGTCAGTTTTTTTTCCAGATTATCTTTCTAAATTAGTTCTGTAAATAATGGCTGGCTCAATTCTGCAAATTTTTACAGCTAACTGGTTTTGATGTCTTCTCTAGGCGCTGGGTTGGTTTAAAAACTTTTAAAAGTGTTTTAATACGTTTAAAACAGTTTTTCCTCTAAAAGTTTTAATTCAGTATCTGTTCAAATTTGAAAGGGCATACAAATAACAAGTTTTCGAACAGTTTCAGAACAGTTTTTCCAGAATTATTTGTATATCCTGAATCTGGAATTTGAGTTGAAAGGCCGCATACAGAAAGCTAGTTACTCGTGACGGCTTAATATATCTGAATGGATGCATCGCATCAATGAGAAAACTCTCTCTGTTCCAGCCGAAGTAGGTGCCATCGACAAAAATCATCCAGTATTTTTCCGAGTTTTTCAGATAGATTTTCGAAAAGAGCAAAATTCACTAGTTTGGCTCCTGTGAACTGCTCAATCTCTTCCGTTATTGTTTTGTTTTCCTCGCCGAAATAGGAAACATGATCATCTCGGATCTCAGAGCGATTTTCAAGAACCCGCTCCATAGCTTTCTTCATTTCTGATTGTGTCAATTTTCGACCACCATGCAAAGGATGAAAAACATTAGCTGCAAAACACAATATGGAAACAGCTATGCTGTACCTTTTCTTGGCCACCTCTAACCTCTCCCTTAGTTTGGCGTTTGGATATTTTTCGAGAAATTTTTTCTAAAGTTCCACGCCATCTGTAAAACATAATTTGTCACCTTGAAACACCGTTTTAAAACAATTTTAAAAATTAGCCTTGTTTCAAAACGGTTTTAAAAATTGCGGACTCCGTCTAGGCTTAGATCATAGCATGTAAATTGAGCAAATAAAATTTTTTGTTCTAAAAATTGTTCTTCGTCGTTTATCGACTCAGTTACCAATCTCTTTCTCAATATTCAAGGTAAATTTTAGTGACTGTTTTTCAGACTTGCTATGTTCCTTGAAAAATTTATGTGATCTTTTATTTTAACTAACAGCCGTTTTTGCTTATAGACGAAACATTTTAGTTTAAAGAACTATTTAGGAGGGTTTAATATTTATGAGTGTAACAATAAAAATGCTGTTTTTTGAATTGATGTGTGCTTGAATTTACATTCCAGTACATTTTTTCGGTACCCGTAATTTTACGCTTGGGATAAGAAAGCGACATCGAATCGTAATATACTTTTTTCAAGGTAAATCATCTGTCAAACAAAATCACAGGATAATTTTCACGTGAGTTTTCTGGGTTTGTACTTTCGTCAACCAACAGAAGTGTTTTGTGCACGTCAGCATTCAGTATTTTAAATATCAGTTTTTTCATAATTTTTTCAACGGTGGCTTAACCGAATTATTTATTTTCAAATGTTTCCTTTGTTTTCTATTTATTTGGACTGAAGGCTTTGGATTATGTTATTTTAGACTAGCAGACTCATATTGCGTATTTTGGTGAGCAAAAAAGTTTTTTTTCAATACATGCGTGTATTCTGAGAAGGTAATCAAAAAACGTTATTTTTGTTCACAATATAAAACAAGCATTCTTAGCTTTTCCCGACTTTTTTAAACGAACTTATTCGACCTTTTCTTGTGCTCATTTGTCCTCTACTACATTAGAGCTGAATGATACGTGGTGCGAAGCTAGGCTATGCTTCGCTTTTTTGTTTGGACATTGTTGTCTGGGACATTACTAACAATCAGGCTCAGGATCTGTTTCACTTTTTGTTTTTCCGGCCATTGAAAATTAAGAGGAACTTTGTATTCGGGTGTGTTTTAGTTTTTCCCATGCAAAGTCAGGTACCACAAATAATCATCGAAGTTGGTTGAGTTATATATCATAGTAAAGCCATTTCAGTCGTGATTGAAGTTGTCCCAGCGTCAAAAACGAGTTAAATTTAATTTCGGTTTCTTATTATTTTTTCATTTTTGATTTTGTTTTCCAGTAATTTTTCGACAAAAACTTGTTTATTTTGAATGTTTTAGTATAACTGTCAAACATGCCTCAGTTTAAGGTTTCGTTTAGATCTTTTCATCACACCACGCAAAAATAACGGCATAATTTCACAGTTGTTTTTTTTTGTAATTTTTTAAGATAATGGTCGGAACATTTTATCCTTCTTGCACAGCAACCGGTTATCCTTGTTTATAGTGTCTTTTTTGCTTGCATATTTTGTGAGAAAATAGCCCAGTTTTAAACATCAGTTTGCATCAGAATGGTGAGGTTGGCGTCTCTATTTACTTAATCCAGACTCTTAACAAATCTTGATTTTATCGTTTTTTGGTAATCTTTGAATCTTCGGTAATCTTCGTTTAAATGTGACTTCAATTTTAAAATAATTTTGCAATAGTGTTTCATGGGCGTAGTTTCAATGCGTACGAGTTGGTATTTTTTCAGATATGGCAATGAGTAAAATAGTGGGTTGTCTCATTGGACCTAAAGTGTATCGTTACATGATAACAACTCCTGAAAAGGTAAGAAATCATAAATACATAGTTGAGGGAGTGGATTTAAGGGCAACCCCACCCGCAGATATTTGACCCGCGCAAAAAAAAACGCGCCGTTTGATCGAAACTTTTAAAAATGCCGCAAAACTAATGCCGGCTGCGAAAAAAATTCAAGGCAAATAATAGTCTCTAAAGTGTTCTGGGAAAAAATTCCGTTTGGTCGACTTTTTTTATCAGCTTCGCCCCTTGAGAATAATCGTAGATCCGCGCCTGCATATACTAATTCATTAGAACCAAGTGGTTGTTCCATAATTTATTTAGATCTATTATTTATTGACCGGTTTTTCGAGATATTAACGAAAAAATTTCCAAAAAGGAACCATGGTAGAATATGAACAAAGGGCCTCATTGATATTAAAAAACGGTCTCAATTCGGCTTGGCACTTCATGTTATTTCATATAGACAAAAATAATCATCAGTCAATGATAGTATGTGTAGTTTGATTTTTGGACGTTGAATATGGACAAAGTGTTTTCGGTCAAATGGAATTTCAAATGGAGTTTTGGTCAATTGGAACCATGCACAATTTTTTAAGTTGCACTTGTCTTGTTGCCTTTGAAAATTATCATATATTCTTATGAAGCAACAACAGATTGTCACGATTGTTGGGCAATTGTTATGTAATTCTTATAATTTTCCGTCTTCAAGATATTTCGGTTTGTTTAGCATCCGCCATTCAAAGTTGATAAGATAGCTGTATTTATTAGAAAAGTATGAAAAAGTCTGTCCTTCTAGCGCTTCTTGCCCTATGAGCCCACATTGCTGGAGACGATGCCCGAGACTGCAATTGGAGTGATAAAAACTCTCTTTTCCTTCACCCGAAATGCATGGTTTCTCATCATACCCTACATGTACATGCGCGATTACTTCACCAGACAGGGATGTTATAAGCGAAGAGCGAGATTACAGTAGTATAGACTCTTGGAGAGTTGATAAGAAGCACATTGGTTTGGTAAAAACAGAAGGTTGATTTTTTTCCATAATTTACATGGAGGTCATCTACAGTCACGGGACTTTTAAGATTTCTAGTGAATGTAACAATTTGTTTGATCACTTTGATTTTATAGCAAATATTCATTTCAACTCGCTGTAAGAGCATTTTTAAAAATTGGGAATTCTGATTTCTATTTTAACCTCAATTTTTAAAAAAAATTTATACTAATCTGTTACGTATGATTGGAAAAAAACCATCACAAATAGTCGTAACTGCGCTATCATTTTGTCAGTGTTGAGGCCAGCCGTTCGATCTGTACAGCAAGAGACGGGTGCGTCCCTCATACGCGAAGGACTGAAGCGATAGGTTTGTCAGCCAATCAAAATTCTTTCATATGATCGAAGGAAATAAGCGATAAAATCAGTCAGTTTTTGCACTTTGAAGGGCATTGAGTTGTCGGCTTGTTTGGTCCTTCGCGCATATGAATAGCACTTATGAGAAGAATTATTCTCCTTAGAAATCTACTATTACTGTAATCTGTCGCCAGGGATGCTTGTACTTGCTTAATTGGACGGGTGTCGTCACTCTACTATTCTGTTTTTCCTTTGCAGTCAGAGCAACTGGACGCTTTTTGAACCCTGTTTACTCCAAATTCGTAGATGTCAGATACGATACATCTTTGTCGCCAGAACAGAAAAAGGTCAGGTTCATTAACCGCTTAAATCGACAGAATATTTTCCATGATCAGGTTTTCCATTCTCTGCCCCGCCCTCAACCTAGTACCTAAAAAGAATTATAATACCCCACAACTGATTTTATTATAATGGGAAAGAGTCAGTGTTGGGGACTTTGTTTTAAACTGTTTAAAACAACTGAATTAAAAACTTGTTTAAAACAAAATGAGAAACTTAACGAAGTTTTTTTTAGTTTTGCTAAGAGCGACAGTTTTCGACTCTTGGGATGACGTACGGGTCCTTGGGAAACCAACTGGATGAAGAAGAAGCATGAACAATTAGTTTTTTGTATAATTATTTTAAAACATGTTATATTGTATCACTGGATAAAAAAAGCGTTCTAATAAGCTGGAAAGAGTCAATAAACTTCTGTTCAATTAACACTGCTGCAAGTTAGCCTTTGTTGTGATTAAATTTTTCAATGGTCGAAACGAAAATGAATATTGGAGATAATTTCAGTTTTGTGAAAAATTTTGATGATTCTGAATCACCGGTTGCACCTGAAAACATTTATTCGTGATATGAAAAAAAAAAGATTCTTGAGACGTAATTCTTTGAACAATTTCCATGATAGTTATTGTCGTGCAGATTTTTCGGTGACACAATTTCAATTTTGAGTTCTGCAACCGCACCTGAAAACATTTATTCGTGATATGAAAAAAAAACGATTCCTGTAAGGTAATTTCTTGAACAATGGTAACTTCCCAAATGGCATTTTTCCCAAATGGCATAAAATTGAAACTTTTCACAAATGGCATAACTTTCAAGTTTCTTTTGTAATTCAAACTTTTTCTATCAATTTCTAATTTAAACATTTTGCCAGGAGCGATTACATGTGAATAAGATTTGGAATTATTGCTTCCAAACAAATGTTAAGCGACAAATTTGTCAGAAAAATTGACCACAAGAAGCTTATCAATAACCGCGAGCTTATGCTTCTCGATTTTGATCAAAAATTTATACATTAAAAAAATGTATGAATCAACATTTGAAATGACTGTTTGACTAATTTTCTCACTTAGCTCACGAAAAAGTTCTTCTCGATTTTTATGCAACTGTTGCATGAAATTTATGCCATTTGGTAAATTTTTTATTTTTATGTCATTTGGGAAAATTTTCAATATTATACCATTTAGGAATTATGCCATTTGAGACGTAATCGTAATTGTAATGCAGATTTTTCGGTGACACAATCAATTTTGAGTTCTGCAACCGCACCTGAAAACATTTAATCGTTATATGAAAAAAAGATACTTGAGACGTAATTTCTTTCAACAATTTCCAGAACACGCAATTGTCATGCAGATTTTTCGGTGACACGATTTCAATTTTGAGTTCTGTAACCGCACCTGAAAACATTTATTCTGATATGAAAATAAAAGATTTTGAGACGTAATTTTATTAAACAATTTTCATAACACGTAGTGGTATGCAAAAAGCTGTTCCGCTTGTCGAGGCATACCATCTACAGTAAAAACTTTTACATTAGTTGCGTAAAAATTTCTTAGAGTCCAATGTATGCCAAAATAATACAATGATAGCGGGTTACTGAGCAAGTAGCACAGAACTTTCCGACCAGTATTAAAAAAATACAAAAATGTTTTCTCAACTTGATCTCTTTCTTTTTTCTATGTTGTAATAAAGAATTTGAAGGAAAAAGAGAACTTAGGCAAATTCGAGAATCATTGTATAATAGGTCAATTGAAAAAAGTTTTTAAAGAAAAATAACTAGAAAAACGAAAACAAAATTTAAAATTTGCAGAAATTTTTTGAAATTTCAAGTTTTTTTATTCCCAAAAACTACCTGTTTTTCAGTAAAACTAAGTTTTCACGGCTTAAATTAAGCTTAAATAATCTATTGCAATAACTAACTACCTTAATAATTAGCTCGAAATGCTATCAAAAATTTCAAACCGGTTTTTTTCAAATTTGTGAAAACTTTTTTGAATTTTTTTAAAATTCGTTCGAATCACGACTGAAAGTGCTTTATTATGTTATATCACTCAATCCTGTCCGATGATAATTTTTGGTAGCTGATTTTGCATGAAAAAAACTAAAAAACACGAATCTAAAGTTCCTCCCCGTTTTCAATGGCCGGAACAATAAACTCAAGAGAGCCATTGCCTTCCATAAAGTTGGAGTGTAAATTTTTAATAAAAATCTTAAGTCAATGCTTAAGTTGAAGATTTGTCAGGAAGTAATTGATTCGAATTTACAAATTTTTTGCATTTGAATGAAACCTTTCAAGATCGCTGCTGAGTTCGAACAGATGAAGTTGGTGGAACAGTTTTAATAAGGGCTTTTCCTGTAAGCTGTGAAAAAATTTCCTCGAATGAAATACGGTATTAATGTAGAATAGTATGTCTGAAATACTTAGGATGCATGATGGTTTTTTTGCTCGAAAATGGTTTCAAATATTTCCTTCTGAATTAGATTAATTTGATTCAGCGCAAAAGTGTAAATTGCCAATCATAATAAAGAAGTCCAAATTGAATCAATAGTTTTACTTGGTGGTTATTTAGAACTATTTGAGTAGTGCATGTAACAACTTTGACAACTCTTATGCATAATATAGTCGTTATATTTTTAATCAATTGCACAGGCTACTAAGATAATTTTTGTAATGCATACTCTGCAGATGAAATGTTATTCGAAAATTCTAATTTTACATTTCTTTTGTCAAAAAATTTTGCTTTGAAATAAATTATTCAAACTGTTCGAAGTATTACAAAGATTGATCCAGCTATTTAACTTGAATCTGCCACCTATTGTAATATATCACCAAATTTTGATCACAGTTGATTTCGAAAACACTTTTCTGGCTGTCAATAATCACCCATTTACTTTGTTTATTTCGTCAACACTAACAGTTTGATATTCAAAATTTCCAATTTGTATATGAGAGCTTAATCACTAATATGAAAGTTTTTTAACCAAATTTTTCGTTTATTTTTTCGTCTGTCTTTTAAATTCTTTTTTGTTGTTCCGACTATTGAAATGGGGACTAACTTTGTGTTCGGGTGTTTCAGTTTTTTATTCTTTTTGTTTTCCACGCAAAATCAGGTAACCACGAATAGTCATCGGAATGGGTCGATTTTTTAAGATTGGTCGGAAAATTTTATGCTACTTGCACAGCCATCGGCTATCCTTGTTAATTATTTGTTCCCAGTATACGAATTTGCTATTTCGCAATTGTAATTTGAGCTGGTGTGAACATCCAATTTTGTAGTATCGTCTGCAAACAAAGTAGTTTTTACTTTAGTACATGATAGTAAATTAATAATTTAGAAAAAAAAATAGAAAAGGAACAAGAACTGGTCTTTGAGAAGAGCTCTTTTTACATTGAAGTTTTTTCCGTATTTTTTTTCGAGAATACACAATGCTGAATTTTTTGCATCCAACGCGAAATGTTACCACGGAAACCAACATTCCATTTTGGTATTATTAAATTGTCTAGTGATCTTCCGTATCAAAAAGTTTGAAAAATCTACCAACCATGTATACAAAAAACGTTTTCTTGTTAATTTTACAAATGCGCAAATAAAAGAGCTAATGTTTTCACACTCAAGATATTTTGTATAATTTCATTTTCCCAGCGAATTTTGTTGAATGTTAGAACATAATTTTTTCGATTTCCCCGCTCGTTGATATTAAACTGATTGGCCTATCACTGTCAAGACTCCCTTTTCATCTTCTGCATGCAAGGAAGACACTTTAATAGGCCTTGGTGATTTTTTTACTTCATTTTTTTCAGTTTAATTTTTTGCCCTTTGATTTTGATAGTTCTTTTATTTTGTGAAAATGAAGACAAACTTAGCTTTGAACAGCAAAAGTGTGAAGGTCACAAAAACGTGATTGACATCTAATTTTGAAAGTTAAATTTATTTTTTAAGTTTCCCAGCCTAATTCAAATTTCATCTATTGATCCAATTTTCTCGAATTGTATTAGTTTTATCAACAGGTGTCAATCAAAACTCGTTTTTGAAATTCCAAGAGCTTCAAGACCATCTTATTTCTTGTTTCGAATTTCGAAAATTAGTTTTCTTTCTGTTTCCTTGCTTTCATTGACTCTCTTCCACCTTTCTGTTGGCTATGTTTTATTCTTTCAAAAAATTGGGAAATTTTCCAAAACAATGGATAAAATTACAGCCGAATTTTTGGTGCGACTAGCTTGAGATTTTTAGATGACACTCAGCATGGAGTTTCGACCCAATGTTCTGATGCTGCGTCAAAGCAATTTTCTCGCCTACACTTTTCCAGTGTTAAGCGCCGATTGAAATTATCTTTATCTTAAGCGTATGTGCTTTGCTGGACTCAAAAATTCGGTGATTTGCATGTTGGAATTAGGAAGATTTTAATATATATTTTTTCGATCATCAAATTGTTTGTTGGACAAGACGCGTTTCGTTTAAAAATCGAACTTAACAGTTTTCATGGTTGCTTACGTTTGTCTAACTGGTTTTCTTCGAAAATATCATAGCCATCAAACACTTCCGTCGCAAGTTAACTTTTCGAGGTGAAATTTATGTATTTTTGTTCTTTTCTAATAATCAATCAATATAATATTTAAATGCGTATGACACCTATCTGGCCATCTTCAAGCTATCTTTACCAAAGTTAATTGTCATAGCATATGTTTGCACGTTTAAGTTGCATCGTATATAGCAATGTTTAAGAAATTGTTTCGTTTCTCCGTTCAGGATTGATTGCTAAGCCAATTGAAAGGCTGTAGCTAAGAATACGGCTTTTCAAAAGGTTTTCTCAAAAGTTTTCCAAGCTATGACGTTTTTATGATTTTTTCAAAAGTTTTCGCAAAACCTTGGCCTTACAAACTTCAGAAATTTTGAAATTCCCAACCGTATAATTGGGTACTGCCATAGTTTTCTCATATGTTACTAGTATTCCCTCTTTGTCTGCTTAACATTTTTCAGTTGTTGACATATGCCGTTTTTCATAATTTTTCTAA